CAGGACTCAAAGAGGTGCGGTTTCGGAGGCCTACTGTCCCGACCTGCGGTGCAGGTCGCAAGCCGGGATGAGGAAGACAGCAGCAGCTCAGAGATTGGAACCGGTGGCGAGAGGAAGGAGAAGTTCTGGCGTGGCGTGGCGTGGCGAGGCGGGCGGAGGATGAGCGAGCGTGGATATCCCTCTTGTTCTCATGCTCGTACAAGTGGAGAAAGAACCTCCCTTATAAGGAGGTCCAACCCCCACTAAACTAGCAATGTGGGACTAAACTTTTGTACCACCTCTTGCCTTGCATAAATGGGCTAAGTGGGTCTTTAGGATTTATTAGGAATTTCTGAAACTGCTATTGGGCTAGGCCCAAAATAGACAAAATTCCAGCAGTAATATCGCACATTTTTAGGCGAAACAGATGAGGTGGCGAGTAATTAATAAGGAAAGAGGGACATGTGCTAACATAACTAGTTATTGTAACATTACACATATCAAGACAAGATGAGTCTACAACCTAATAAATAAAGTGTTATATGACACCGTACATATGTTACTCCTCACTATAGATATAGTAACATAATAACATATGCATGTTACTAGTCTAAGTTACTTTTTTTTAAGACAAACTAGTGTAAGTTACCCATTGTGACTAGTCTGGAGTTTCCTGCCACAGAGGGCTACCGAACACGCCATCGCTCAACTTCCATCGGCCCAACTGCTTTTTCGTACTCGTGTCCGCGTTCTAAACCCACAACCCCCTCTCGCAGACCGCGGCAGCCTGCGCGGCCACCGCCGAGGCCACGATGCCGTCGATCGCCGCCGGAGGAGGCTGGCGCCTCTTCTCCGCGGGCAGGGGCATCTCCTGGCTGCGCCTCCGCCGCCTCCAGCGCCCGCTCCTCTCCTCCCTCGCCGGCGGCGGTGGCGGCCACGCGCCGCATCTGCCGGTGGTCATCGTCGGGGCCGGGCCCGTCGGGCTCGCCCTCTCCTTCCTCCTCGCCAAATTCGGTAAGCGCCACCAGCCTCCGCGAGCTATGCTCTGCTTCGCGCTTCGGTAGGCGTGGGGCGAGGATTTGTTTGTGAGCACCTGCGGAGTCGCCCCAATCAGATGTTCAGTGGATCAATCGGAGCTCAGCTGATAAATTTGACATTTCGTTTTGTTGAAACCTCGCAGGCATCAAATGCACGGTCCTAGAGAGAAGCATGGAGTTCACTAGGCACCCCCGGGCGCATTTCATCAACAACCGCACCATGGAGGTGTGTTATCAGTTATCTGCCAAGCGCACCCCCAACATTGCCATTTCAGCCCTTCGTGTGTGTTGTGTGGGTGGTGATTTCATAGGTTTGGGTGGTGTTGGCAGATCTTCCGCAAGTTCGACGGCCTGGCTGGGGACATCGAGAGGGCTCAGCCGCAGGTGGACCTGTGGAGGAAGTTCGTGTACTGTACCTCGCTTTCCGGAACCATTCTCGGTTCAGTTGATCACATGAAGCAGGAAGGTGAGTTTAGTTCTTGAAGTGTTTGCGTGCGCGATGTTCTGAACCTCGCTGCATACATTGACCGGCTGACGATTATTTTGTGCAGATTTTGACAAGGTCATTAGTCCTATATCGGTCGCACACTTCTCGCAGTACAAGCTAGTGGATTTGCTACTCAAGAAACTGGATGACGTTGGCTTTGAGACGTGCTTTCCTGATGAGCTTGGCGGTAGCTCCGCTCAAGATTTGCTGCTGGAAAACAAGATACTGATGGGACACGAGTGTAGCTCCATTCAGCTGACCGATGCCGGCATTCTGGTTGGAGCATCATTTAACAATGGGGGGAGGATGCAGGAGAGGAAGCTTCACTGTGGCCTTCTTCTTGGGGCAGATGGCGCAAGAAGCAAAGTGCGTGAGTTGGCTGGTATATCTATGAAAGGTGAAAGGGACTTGCAGAAATTGGTCAGTGTTCATTTTGTGAGCAGGGATCTTGGAAAGTATTTATCTAGTGAGAGGCCTGGCATGCTGTTCTTTATTTTCAACCCTGATGCAATTGGTGTGCTCGTGGCACATGACCTGGAGCATGGGGAATTTGTGTTGCAGGTATATCAAATTAGCAGACTGTTGTGAGTAAGATGCCCATTATGCTGAAGGAAGTAGGATGATTAGTTATCTAGCTGTTAATTTATCTCCTGTTTCATGTTCAGGTTCCATTTTATCCGCCTCAGCAGATGTTTGAGGATTTTAGTGCAAAGGTGATTTCAGTTGAATATTTTTCTCAATTTCTAGTTTTTGGCATTTCCCACCTCATTCACCTGTGAACGTCTACTAAAAATTATCTTCGGCACCCAGTCTGTATAGCCTTGTCATTCTGAAATGCTTGTTCTGTAGTATTCTTTCAAGAACTTATTTGCAGTCCTTACAGTTCTGAAATACTTGTTTTGTAGATTTCTAGTCTGCAGAGTAAATTTTATGCCGATATTTACACGCCTCCTTACTCTTTTCCCCCGTATGTATTTCCCCTTTGGTTCTAGGTGTGCGAGCAAATTATTGTCAAATTGGTTGGATGGGAGCCAGCAGATATTCAGGTTTTAGACATAAAACAATGGGCAATGCATGCTGAAGTTGCAGAGAAGTATGTTGGCTGCGACAATCGTGTAATCCTAGTTGGTGATGCTGCTCACCGCTTTCCTCCTGCTGGTGGTTTTGGTTAGTAGTTATTTTCAAATTTGATACTGCAATATTACCATGCTGAACTCGTTATTATGTATCTGAAGTTCAAATGTATAAAGAGATGTGCACTTCCTGACATCTTTTCGCAGGAATGAACACTGGTGTTCAGGATGCACATAATTTGGCTTGGAAATTGTGTTTACTTCTAAATGGCATCGCTGACCCATCAATTATACAAACTTATGAGTCAGAGCGCAAACCTGTTAGATTCTCCTTGCATGCCTTCTGTTCGTCAATGTTAACATCTCTGCTACAAATATACTGAAATAGCATTCATGCTTCTTTATGACAGGTTGCCATTTTTAACACAGTACTTAGTTTGGAAAACTTCAAGGCAGCAATGTCTATTCCTGCTACCCTTGGCCTTGATCCAACCATTGCAAACTCAGGTAAAGTACCCTGCTCCTGCAAGAGGGCTGTGCACAATTTATTGATATTCTCTTTGAAAAGTAAATATTGACAACATGTACAACTATGGTTGATTACAGTTGAATGTTTGTAACTTGCCCCTTATACGCATCCCTCACATGTTTCTATCAGTGCACAGAGTAATCAACAGCAGCCTAGGATCAATCATTCCAAGAAATTTACAGAAGGTGGTTCTGGAAGGATTATTTTCCATTGGTCGTACACAAGTCTCGGACTACATTTTGAGTGAGAACAATCCCCTTGGATCCTTGAGACTAGCAAGATTGAGAAGTATTCTTGATGAAGGAAAAAGTCTACAGCTGCAGTTCCCTGCAGAGGATCTTGGCTTTCGGTTAGTCTCTGTACTGTGAATGATTCTTCAAAACAACTTTACTGTTTATCTTCCTTTTGAGTTTACTTGATGGAACAACATGAGTAGACCGCCTCCGGAGACAATACTATGTTCTCACCAAATAGGCAAGTTTCTGACCTGGATCTACTGTGCACTTTCAGCTATGAAAAAGGAGCCCTAGTTGCTGAAGATTGTGCTGACACCACTTATCAAGCAGAAAAACAGAAGCATTCTAAGAGGTCATCAGGAGAGTACATCCCATCTGCTAAGGTTGCTTCACGGCTACCACACATGCTGGTGAGACCACTGTCTGCTTCGAGTGAGGTTCGACCCTTTGACCCCTATAATTGGTACATTCTTTTTTAGCCGTTCATGTACCTTTGTGTAAGCCGTGGGCGTGATGACTTCTTACAGGGCATGTTCTCAACACTGGACCTAGTAAGTGGGGATAAAGTTGAGTTTGTTATCATTATCGCACCACTGAAAGAGTCATATAAGCTTGCCCGGGCCATGCTAAGGATAACAGATGAATTCGAGTTATCAGCCAAAGTTTGCGTCATGTGGCCACAAGGTTCAGGGGGCGAGGGAGTGAAAGGGAGCATGTCCGAGCTGGCTCCCTGGACAAACTATGTCGATGTCGAGGAAATACCAAGGGCATCTGCCAACTCGTGGTGGGAGATGTGTCAGGTAAGCAATAGAAGTGTTATTTTGGTTAGGCCTGATGAGCACATAGCATGGAGAACAGAACCTGAAACGGTGAGAGATGCTTATGCAGACGTTAGAAAAGTCTTTTCTCAGATTTTGAGTTTAAATAGGCCCCAGGTGTAAGAATGCCCAGATATACATTCATTAACTGACTGGGTTCAAGTGTCAAACTTAGAACCTCGACCACTAGACGTGGACATTAACCGTTCCATGCTGCATTATTTGCATGTACATGACCGTCAGGTTTGTTTGTTGATATCTTCTCACACATGTTGGTTACATTATCATACATTTGACATGAACTTCCCGGAGATGTTACATCAATGTGAATAAAATTATCTTTGTTACATCATGCTTTAGATATGTTGGCTGTCAGCTTCTTGTACTAATCAACAGGGAGTGTTTGGACCAAGTGTTTTTGTTGTGATTTGTTTGTTACACTGTACACTGAACCCCAAGAATCGGGATACAGATCCATATCTTCCCCCCAAAAAGTGAGTTTTATTATGCACTAAACCCCATGAATTCTAACCCGAGCCATCCCTATCTAAACAAGCGTAAAGAACAAAATTAGCGAGTCATTATAACTAGTGATGCAGCCACTTTCTAGCTTTCACCATAGCAATGAAGTTATCGAATAGATAATCTGTACATCAAGCCTGAGAACATCACCTGAACATACACTTAGGTGCTATCAAAACTTGATTCAATCTTCAACAGCACTACGGCACATCATTACACATCAAACCGATACCTAAGTCACAGAAACACCAGAGAAGCTTCTTCTTCTCAGGTCTCTGAGAACACTAGCAATTCTCCTGCACCTTGAGACACAGCAGCGTCATACAACACTTGTCACTGCAATGATAATCTGCCCTGCAATACCTATCATACACCCAAGCACCGCACCGGCGACAACCTGCGAGCAAATTTGAGTGGGCAATAAGTTTTCTGGTACGATCATGGAGGGGCAAACCTCCCAGAACGGGCAATGAGCTCAGCTGGCGACTGGGTGATCGCGGTAAAAATATGGCATCGCTTTCGAACTGCCAAACTAATACTAAAAATGGAGAATGAAAAGGACATTTGAGCAGACCTGGGTCGGGGTATGGCCTAAAAGTTCACGCAATGGTCTTGTTTCAGCCAAGGGATGTTCAGCCGGTAGTTCACAGACTATTTGGTTCAACACCTAAAGAATGGAAAAGGTCAGGACAAGGCGCAGCATAATTACAAAACTCAGAACATCAAAGCATATATAATCACAAAAATCAGAGCAGATGTTACATACCGCTGCTTGCTTTCCAGCATGCAATCTGACACCAGAAGCATCGTACATCACCTGCCAATCAAGTGACAAAATCGAAACTCAAAGACCTCGTCGTCATGAATCAACAGACAGGAAATTAAGTATAAAAATCCTGCACGATGCTTGCACTCAACATTTTAATGTCCAACTCATGGTAGAACGCTTATGTCCAGGAAGAAGCAACATATTATTTTTCTTCATAAACAAACAGGTGATGCGTGATGGGACGAGATGGATAACCTACCACACTTGCGAATATCGTTGATGTGGCAAAGAGGGCACTGCCGAAGCCCTCTTGGAAGCCAATGGCTACCGATAATGCTGTAACGGTCGCGGAATGCGACGACGGCATGCCACCGGAGCCGATAAGCCGCTTAGGATCCCATCTTTTCTCCTTATACCTTCATTCAGTCAAGAAGTAATGCACATCAGACCTATTGCAGCAGCATCTGCCTATGAAAACTTACTGCAACAATTAACAAGCACAGAAGTGTGTATTTTATTTTTATTTGATAGTGCGAATAAAGGCGCAGAAGTGTGTAATGGGGAATTAATCACAAAATCCATTGATCATGTCAGATCAACGCCCAAATTTATTGGTTTGTTTTTGTCTCGTATGAATATCTTTTTTGGGTGATCATGGTTAAGGGCCTCTGAATGGAAACGAAACGAAACACGCAGTCAGAGAATATGTGAGTTGCAACGTTTGTTTAGATGTGTTCAAGCTGAAGAAATGCAAATTTCACCCACCCCAGAACAGGCACGGGCCGACCAAACCATATGCTTAATTTGA